GAAGGAGGCTGCAGCAGCCATGGTTCTCACTGTATTTATCTTCTGGTAATTGTGGTCCAGTTCACATTCTCCATTTGCAAACCCCTGTGTGAATAATCCAGCAGCTTTATGGTGGTTCTGTGGGGTCACAGAGGACATGCCTTACTGCAGGAGGTGTATCCGTGTGCTGTGCTAATAAACACTTTTGGTATCAATGCAACTGTAAAACACAACTGTCGTTGCGCTGGGATGATGAAGTTGTATTTGCCACCAAAATCAAGATCGGTTGTACTTAAAGACTAACAGTGTTGCTACCACAAGGCTGTGGGAGAGACCTTTTCTTCCCTCCTCTAGTAAAAGTTGGGCTGGCAGGAGTCTGTAAGGCAGGCACAGCCTCAGGCAGCGTTTTGGGATTCGGGAAAGGCATCCTGGCAGCGGGTGAGGGAGGAACAAGTCCTTTCTTCTGCCAGTGCTTGAGCATCTGCGCGTTTAAGATTTGGAGACTCTGCATTAACGTAGAGGTGGAACAACCAAGGTGTTGGCTGTTCCAGGTCTGCTCTGTCAGAAGCCTCTGCTGTGGGCAGTCGGGGTTTATTAATGGGCGGGAGAGAGGCCTAACCCCGTAGTCTGGTGATTAAGGCTCTTGCGTGGGCAGGAGGTGAGTCTTGTGCTGTGTCCTTGCTAAATGTGCCAGATGCACATCTGGTGTGAAAACTCTGCTGCTTCCCTCCTGCCCTTCTTGTCTGTTAGCCCTGAGCTCAGCAACTGAGCAGGTTCATCCTGGACATGTGCCTGGAAGGGCAGGAGAGCTTCGTCTGGGTTCTGCACAGGCACAGCGAAATAGTGGGATCACATCACTTTCATTTCACTGAGATTGTTGTCTGATCTGGGTTCTGCACAGGCACAGCGAAATGCTGGGACCACGTCACTTTCATTTCACTGAGATTGTTGTCTGTTAGAGAATGTGTTTTGACCTGTAATACCGTGATCATAGTCCGTGTTACTAAAATACAAAGTGTGCTGCATGGTAGTTTCATTTTGAAGATGCCACCATGCAGAACAGGCTTGCGGATATCGGCTTGATTAACACTGAGTAAACAACACGTCTCAAAAATTGTCCATGGGAGTGGCTGATACTGGGGAGAGGTCGGTGGGTGGCACTGGGACGGAGCTGAGGTGGTGGCCACGGCTTTACCTGGTGGGTAGAGCGCTTCCTGGAGGGATGGGAGACCTTGGGAGAAAGGCTGCCTTCACATCAGCACAGCAGCGATTCGAATCCATGTCGGTGCAGCGTTGCTCCATGATGGCGAGTAGTGAAAGCTCCTCCTGCCCTTCAGCCAGAGAGGAGAGA